CAAATGATTTAATATAGCAACTGCATGAATATAGATGTGAATACCAGTATTTTCATTATACTGGCCCCGTATAAGGATTTTTTAATGGTAAGTTTGTGATGCTACATGTTCTTATCCTGTAGGTATTCCATGTATCACAGATTGTGTAATGGCTGAAATTGAGAAACTGGGACAGAAGTATCGTGTGGCCTTGAGGTAGGGGGCATGATAACCAAATTTTGTTCTTCACTCTAATTTTCATGGATCCCCATGATGGGGATGCCTGAGGACATCTTCTTTGGTGCCTGTCAGGTTCCCTATGCTAACTGAATTTTTAACTTTTAAAAATATTATTTATTCATTTATGCCAGCATACTTGCAGGGAGGTAGGCATGAAACAAAATGAAACATAAATCTCCAGTATACTCGATATTTTCAAGGATGCCACTTTTCATTTCTATTCAGTTCTGTAATAAGCTTCTTAAACGCAGGCTGGAAATTGAGTTTCTAATTGTTTTAGACTTCATAGGCCAATTGCTGATAAATAGTTACTTAAATAACTAATAATTAGCTAAAATAATAACCCTAAAAATCTCTCTTTGGTTTTTTTTAAGGGGGGGGATTAAGGAGTGTGCAACTCCCAGAAATATAACAGATTTGGGTCTAGCTAGTGAAAGAATGACCAAAATGGTCTGCCTTTTAGCAATTTCCTAATTATTTTATTAGGTCCTAACTTTCACTTATGTGGTTCTACAGAATAGCAAAAGACCCACGATTTGAACGCTTGCCCTGTACTCACAAAGGAACATATGCAGATGACTGCCTGGTACAGAGAGTCACTCAGGTACTCCTTTGCAAGGGGTTATGTGCTGTATTTTTGATATATAAATGTGCTTAGAGCAACTTAATTGCTGAAAGAAGGTGACACTCAGTATGTACAATTCTTTTTAATTAATATTGCTGACTTACAAAAAAATATCAGCGTTGCAAACAATTATAGAATAGGGCATTCTCTTTGCTTAATTTTTTTTGCCATTACTTTGGTTAAGGTGTTCATAAATATACCTGGTTTTTCTGTAGGTGGGTGTTCTTTAGAAAAGGGATAAAATCATTTAATTTAGATTCTCAGTATAACATTGCCATTTTTCCCTGCAGCATAAATGTTATATAGTAGCTACTGTAGACAGAGACCTTAAGCGGAGAATACGGAAGATTCCAGGAGTACCCATAATGTATATATCTAATCACAGGTAGGTGAGCTATTAAGTGGAAAAACATTATATAATGACAAATTTAAATTGTAGTTTTCAGTACATTGAACATATTTTATCTACACACATATGTGTAGATAATCAAATAATCCAGTCATGTATAGGAAGTGCTTTGGTTCCATTTTCAAATTGGTCGCTTAAATCATTAACATTATCTGATCGTGGTTACTATGCAATTGTCTGTTGATTCCTGAATACATTTAAAGTAGGATTCTGTATATGTGTACTGAAAAGCAAGTCTTGTATAATTCAGTAGAGCTTACTTTTAGGTAAGTGTGTTTAGGGTGGACCTTGAAACTTGCGGTAGAACACATAAATTTATATATTTAGTACACATATGTACCGCTGACTTAGTGAAGAGCACTACTCAAGGTGGTTTACAACATAAAAGTGAAACAGTAATCCTAACTACTCGTAAATCAACAAACATCCGAAGGAAACAGATACAGTAAAATACATCAGTCTCAAATGATAGCAGACTTCAGGACAGATGGTAATATACTTAAGGGATGAGGCCCTTGAATGCTTCTCAAAGCATTGACATCTTCAGCATCCTCTTAAAGGATGGGAGGCAGGAGCCCATTTCATAAGGTGGGGGCCATGACTGAGAAAGCATGATTCGTGGGGACAGTAATGGCTAGTTCTGTGTTGGCAATTTGCATGTATACAACTATTGTACTATCTGGTGAGGTATCTGTTGTTTGTTCAACTACTCACACAACAGTCATTGCTTAAGTCGCATGTATGGAAATCCCCTACACAGGATCCTGGCCAAAACATATCTTTCTAAAGTACATATAGTCCCTTAGTATTAAATTTGCTATCTATTATTTAGGTGTATGAATACTTATTGGCTACTTACACAGTTTACTGAACATTTCAGCATCTTTTAGTACCATATTAAAGATCTGCTGCCATTTTTCCCTGCAGCATAAATGTTATATAGTAGCTACTGTAGACAGAGACCTTAAGCGGAGAATACGGAAGATTCCAGGAGTACCCATAATGTATATATCTAATCACAGGTAGGTGAGCTATTAAGTGGAAAAACATTATATAATGACAAATTTAAATTGTAGTTTTCAGTATATTGAACATATTTTATCTACACACTTATATGTAGATAATCAAATAATCCAGTCATGTAAAGGAAGTGCTTTGGTTCCATTTTCAAATTGGTCGCTTAAATCATTAACATTATCTGATTGTGGTTACTATGCAATTGTCTGTTGATTCCTGAATACATTTAAAGTAGGATTCTGTATATGTGTACTGAAAAGCAAGTCTTGTATAATTCAGTAGAGCTTACTTTTAGGTATGTGTTTTTAGGGTGGACCTTGAAACTTGCGGTAGAACACATAAATTTATATATTTAGTACACATATGTACCGCTGACTTAGTGAAGATAAATACTCAAGTTGGTTTACAACATAAAAGTGAAACAGTAATCCTAACCACTCATAAACCAACAAACATCCGAAGGAAACAGATACAGTAAAATACATCAGTCTCAAATGATAGCAGACTTCAAGACAGATGGTAATACACTTAATATGTACCGCTGACTTAGTGAAGAGCACTACTCAAGGTGGTTTACAACATAAAAGTGAAACAGTAATCCTAACTACTCGTAAATCAACAAACATCCGAAGGAAACAGATACAGTAAAATACATCAGTCTCAAATGATAGCAGACTTCAGGACAGATGGTAATATACTTAAGGGATGAGGCCCTTGAATGCTTCTCAAAGCATTGACATCTTCAGCATCCTCTTAAAGGATGGGAGGCAGGAGCCCATTTCATAAGGTGGGGGCCATGACTGAGAAAGCATGGTTCGTGGGGACAGTAATGGCTAGTTCTGTGTTGGCAATTTGCATGTATACAACTATTGTACTATCTGGTGAGGTATCTGTTGTTTGTTCAACTACTCACACAACAGTCATTGCTTAAGTCGCATGTATGGAAATCCCCTACACAGGATCCTGGCCAAAACATATCTTTCTAAAGTACATATAGTCCCTTAGTATTAAATTTGCTATCTATTATTTAGGTGTATGAATACTTATTGGCTACTTACACAGTTTACTGAACATTTCAGCATCTTTTAGTACCATATTAAAGATCTGCTCAATGCTAACAAATATCATGGGTCTCATTATGTGCTTGCTGTATACCATATTGGAAATATGGTGGATTACTTCACAAAAGATTCCTTGTTTCATTTTAGGTATAATATTGAGCGAATGCCAGATGACTATGGAGCTCCTCGACTTTAATCATCTGCTGTAGAGAAACCAAGATAAACCCTCACTGTCAGTTTGAGAGTATTGCTGAATATTGAGCCTGTTATAAGGTTCTTCTGTTTTCGATTCACTTCTGTGATGTTTTGAACTGTACTTGATTTATCCAGAAAAAAAGAACATACAATCCATTTTACTAATCTGTGTTCCAAAATAAATATTTCTGATGGTATTAAAGTGAATTTTAACACCTCTATCCTTTCTCAACTTCTGTTCTCAACCCAGCATTTACTGTTTGCTCTCTAAAAGTCTGCATTGTGCAATTAGATACAGTGGCTAGATGCCATGAAGCTAGATTTCCAAATAAACATGCATAGGATTCTGTTTGTAAAGCCTCATATTTCATTTGGACAGCAACACTGGCTATGGATATGCAGCACCATTGCAGCGCTGTGCAGCTGCACACCCCTGCAGCTTAGAGGGAACATTGTGTGCAGAACTTAATAGACTTTTTAATGGGGGAAAAACACAGAAGCCTGTGTTCATCACTGCTGGCATTTATCCAGCATATAATTCTTGAATGAAATCAGACAATCTTTGACAATCAAAATCCATCTGAGTATGTCTTTTCATAGTTGCAATAATTATAGGAAATGTCAGCTTGCCTGATCCTACAAACTTTATCTACAGTGCTTCTATGTTCCATATGCACAATGTACTTCAGACTTGCAAAAATACTGTACAAATATTTTACAGCTATGAAGAAAACTGTAGGCACAAATGTTTAAAATCACATCCAAACCACAGCTCCAATACAAGGATATCTGCAAGCGGGATCTGAAGGCCTTAGGAATGGACCTCAACAGATGGGAAACCTTGACGTTTGAGTGTTCAGCCTGGAGGCAGGTGGTACAGCATGACCTCTCCGAATTTGAAGAGACACTTGTATAGCAGGCCAAGGCAAAGAGGCAGTCCCAAAACGAGCAAAACCAGGGAGCTGGACAGGGGACAGATTATATTTATCTTCAGTGTGGAAGGGATTGTCACTCTCGAATTGGCCTTCTCAGCCACACTAGACACTGTTCTAAGACTTCCATACATAGCATGTTCCCATAGTCTCTCGAGACTGAAGGATGCCTACATGCATAAGGTTGCCATAAATCATAGGCTACCTGGCAGACACAGAATTTAAACAACCATACAATTGACCATAATAATGTATACTTTATTCCTTACTGGTAGAAACTTTCATAGGCTTTTCTAAGTACAAAGAACTCGAAAGTGTTTTACTATTCCCTTCTGAGGGTACTCTGGGCTTATACAGCTTGCCTAGACTGTACAGGCAGGTGGCAGGGCACATAATTCCAAAAGACCCATTTGCTCTAGGACAGGTGATCTTGGCTGGCCCCTCTCTTGGGAGGTTGTTGTTGTTTAGTCAATTAGTCGTGTCCGACTTCGTGACCCCATGGACCACAGCATGCCAGGCCCTCCTGTCTTCCACTGCCTTCCAGAGTTTGGTCAAATTCATGTTGGTAGCTTCGATGACACTGTCCAACCATCTCATCCTCTGTTGTCCCCTTCTCTTGCCTTCACACTTTGCCAACATCAGGGTCTTTTCCAAGGAGTCTTCTCATGAGATGGCCAAAGTATTGGAGCCTCAGATTCAGGATCTGTTCTTCCAGTGAGCACTCAGGGTTGATTTCCTTCAGAATTGATAGGTTTGTTCTCCTTGCAGTCCAAGGGACTCTCAAGTCTCCTCCAGCACCACAATTCAAAAGCATCAATACTTTGGCGGTCAGCTTTCTTTATGATCGAGGTCTCACTTCCATACATCACTACAGGAAAAACCATAGCTTTGACTATGTGGACCTTTGTCAGCAAGGTGATGTCTCTGCTGTTTAAGATGCTGTCTAGGTTTGTCATCGCTTTCCTCCCAAGAAGCAGGCATCTTTTAATTTCGTGGCTGCTGTCACCATCTGCAGTGATCACGGAGCCCAATAAAGTGAAATCTGTTATTGCCTCCATCTCTTCCCCTTCTATTTGCCATGAGGTTATGGGAGAAGGTGATGAGACCAATGGCCATGATTTTAGTTTTTTTGATGTTGAGCTTAATACCGTTTTTTGCACTCTCCTCTTTCACCCTCATTACAAGGTTCTTTAATTCCTCCTCACTTTCTTTAAAGGAGCTAGCTTTAAAGCCAGTTCTTTCAAAGCTAGAGTGCTTCCGGTTGGGTCCTAAAGGATAGGGTGAGGAGAGGGCAAAACTGGTGTCTCGCAATAGCCTGATTGCAGGGTACTAAGCGAAGAGGGCAGCAAAGTGGAGGTCTGTGCAGTTGTCGTGGGGAGAGCAGTAAAGTGGGGAGAGTCTTGGGAGGTACAGGAGGGTCATGTGAGATGCCAAACCCTGGCTATGCAAGCTGGTGCTCCAACTCCCTTTTCACATCTATGGTAATGTATTTATTTGAATCCCAAGGGTTGGTGACTCTTTAAATACTTCAATGTTCCACAAATCTTAATTTGGGAGGTATTTTACTATTTCAAACTTTTTCAAAATTGCATATCCAATCTGCCAAAAGCTATTATTTTTCTTTCTTTAAAACCAAAGGATATGCCACAAAGGGCATACAACAACTTATTTGTCAAAGTAATAATACTTCAGGAAGGTTCCCAGAAATGATAAACAGTGATTACCGTACGTTTTTTTTTACCACGAATAATTGACATTTCGACGAATACACAAAACTTAAACCGAATCAATAAAATAAAAAAAAATGTCCTAAGTACCGCTCTCCCCACGATAACTGCACAGACCGCCACTTGGCTCCCATCTTGGCTTAGTACCGTGCAGCCAGGCCACTGCGAGACACCCGTTTTGCCCTCTCCTCACTCTACTACTTCTTAGGACTGAACCGGAAGCACTCTAGCTTTAAAAGAGGAACTTCCTCTCTTTGGCCGGGCATCTCAATGCGCAGGCGCAGTAAAGTGAACGGCCCTCGGTTGCTGCCCGCCGCTATTGCGGCCTGTGGAAGCGCGAGGTTCGCTCTGATCCGGCCTTGCCTGAGATCCGCTTCCCAGCCCCATGTTCCCGACGTGGGGCCTCTATGGGGGGCCCCCCGGGCCCTATCCCCCGCCACCCACCATGATGCCGCCCCCGCCGCCCTCAGCCATGCCTGGGCCTCTGCCACCGGGGCTCCC